TTTGATCACACGATCATGGGGATGCTGCAAAGGTCGTAACCTTGAAAAACAGTCATAAGTCACATTTTTTTCAGTGCCATTGCAACTTTGAATGGTCACTAAACGTAAGTTGAGGACCACCTCTATGTGAGATTCTGTTTATCACCTATATTTAGTCTTTGTTTTATTGTTCTTGCAGTTTGTGACATTTTTAATAAAAATGAAATAAATCTATTTGCTTAGTCTTGCTTTTCTCAGTGTTCACCTTTCACATCTCTGCTTTTACCAACAGAAAAATTATTGCTTTTAACATTTCTGATTTCAAGCATTGAAATGTCTTTAGTTCTGTGATCTTGTCTGAGGTCCATGGCCTTTCTCAATAGGATTTATCTTTTCTTCTGCAGCATACAAATAAACTGTAAAGAAAATTAAAGAGACTTGGGGCATCCGTGGTAGCACTGCCCGAGTAAGCTTAACAAATGTCACCAAGAGTTTTTAACTGTAAGGTGGTATGTGCATTAAATTAAAGAGTCAGTTTCTAAACATGACAAGCTTTGAAATGTTATGGACTGACTGAGAGGTTTTACAAATAATAACATAAGTGGTACATGTCACCTGAATAATTAGCAACCTAGTAACTGGCTCTCCCTCTGTGAGCCAGATACCTTGTACTGCTTCTAGATCAGGGGTCCCCAATCCCTGGTCTGTGGCCCGGCACTGGGCCATGGCATGACAGCAACCGGGCCGCAGAAACAAGCAAAGCCCCATCCACAGGATGCAGGAAGCACGGGAAATCACGCCTCCTCTGGTCCGTGGAAAAATCTCTCTCCATGGAACCGGTCCCTGGTGCCCAAAAGGTTGGGGACCTCTGTTCTAGACAATGCTAAAATAAAATTGATGACAGAGTTCAGATTTAGAATAGACATTTGCTGTGTCTTTCCTACTTGGAAGCAGCCCTGAGCTTCGACTTAAAGGTAAAATGAGAGTGAGGATCAGGATGGGGGTTTTCCTCCCTAGAAACCCTCTCTGCTCAGACAATCTAGCTTGAAAGTGTATGTGAGACAATCCTGTGCTTGGGCCAGAATAAATCCCCTACCAATAAGACATTTTGAATTTATTTGTTATAACATTATAGCACAAATGTGCAGCCTAAATCAGTGTTTCTCAAGCAGCCAGCCAGTGTGGGGAATTCTGGAAGTCAAAGTCCACATGTCTTAAAAGTTGTCAAGCTTGAGAAACACTGGCTTAATTTTTCAGAATTATTCCTCTCCCCTACATTAAGTTTAAACTGTTGTACTATGGTTTGATTTTCTTTTGTGAAAGAAGCAGAGCAAAAGATATTTCTTCTTTAATTAAATATTACCAATTCTCAAGCATTTTCATCGTAATGGGAAAAGATTCCCAATAGGGTCTTGCTTTCTAATGCACAGTTCCCCTTTGAAATCAACCATATTCACCCTGCTGTGAGAAGTTCCAAGGAAAAAAAAGATGATGAAAGAATGTTAATAACTTTATGAATTTATAATGCCTGTTGCAATTTTCATGAATTAGGAGCTGTTCTCCTTAATTTACACATTATGTGGTTCATGTTGTATTTTGTTAAAAAAAAGCTATCTTGTTTCATTTTGGAAAAAACAGAATTTATCAGATTTAACATACACGTACATACATACAAATACACATGAGTGAGCGACAAAGAGAAATATTGAAATAATAAAACATGTTGAACAAAATATTTCAGTACTTGCGGAATTAATGAAATTCACAAAATGATATCTGTTAGAACTGTGCTATGCTTTGGATTTGGTTTCAAAAAGGTTGTAGCAGTGCAAATATAACACCTGTTTGCATCTGTTTAAAGCAGCTGTGTCTTTTCCCTTGTTGCCTTTCACAGCTATGTGATCCTTGGAAAAGATGGAGTTGTTTTAAAGAGTTGAGATAGGTGTTTGATTAGTGGCCCTGGGCATTTGGAAGCAAGTTTTAGAAACAAGCTGAAGCACTATAGAATACTACTGTTTATCTGCGTATTGATATATCCTGCTGTATTCTAATAATTCTGCAATTCAGGCAGCCATTGTCCTGAATTTGTGAATTCCTGTTATAAGAGGCTGCATTTTTAATAACAAGAACACAGTCACATGAAAGAAAATTGGAGAAGATCTGACATTTCTAGAAGTTGAAATGAACTACTATATTTTCCGGCGTATAAGACGCCTGGGCGCATAAGACGACCCCCGACTTTGGAGAAGATTTGCATGGTTTAGAAAGTCGTCTTATACACCGGAAAATACGGTATTCCTCTGAAAAAAGTACATCTAAGATCAGTTTGTTCCATGCAATATGATTCTTAAACTTAGGAAATCATTACCTATCAAAGATTCATTGATCCAGCAAATTCCATGAGACTTGTTTTTATTATTTCAGGGATATATGTGAGGCTACCTTCAAAAATAACATTCACAGGATAATTTATAAACATTGGCTATTTCTGAAGAAAGGAATGGTAGTATGCTACGATCTATTTTTTTCTGTTTGTGTCTAGTCTGTTAGGTTAAGCCTGAAAACAGGAACCGTGTGTAGGAAAAGCAGCTATTTGGTGTTCTCATGCAATACAATTGCAATCCAATAGATTTAAATTGTTATTTATCCATGCATTGTTCAGAATGGTTTTCAGAGTTTTAATATACACCAGTATCTTGAAAATTTCTTACCTTGAACATTGGAATAAATTAACCGTCCCTAGCTTGATGCTGGAATAACAACTCTCAATACTTGGAACCCTCCACCCCTGCCTCCAGCTAGGTTGACACTGGTGGATGATAGTAATAACCAGTAAATTATGTAATTAAATAATATTATAAGATGACCAACTTTTTTACAATGAAAAGGAGGACACAAATAAATTGAAGAAAAAAATATTGTAAAAGCTGGCCCGGCCCATGGAAAGTCAACTATCTGCCACGCCTCCACCTGCAGCTGCCTCACCAGCACCGCTGCCCCACCATGTAGAGCAGTTCTCGTGGTTCCCAAAGCACCAGCCGCGCCAGCTCTGGCCCCGGGGTCTGAAAGGGGATGCATGAGGCTCAGGGGTTCATGTCTGCACTTCTGATGAAGATGCAGAAGGCTTCAGATGAAATCCAAAGTTTTATTCCAATTTTCGCTGCATAATGCCATTAGCATGAAGTAGATCTTCCTGAAATGGATTCAGCTTTCGTATTTTATGCAAAACTATGTTTTTCTGCTGATCTGAAATGACTAATTTAATGTCATCTGGATAAGAATGTTCAATTTTACTTGATTTTTGTTGTTACTGATTTTTTTTAAAAAAATGAAAGTTAAAGAGACCCAAAAGCAGGGGAAAACATTCAAACATAAGTAAGGTCAGCATGAATTTGTTGGCATGAATATCTTTATGTGAATTTTGTCCCTTCTCCTTTTATGATCTGAAGTGAAATTCAATATTAAAATAAAAATAGCAAGAAAGCTTAGTAACATTATGAATAAGTAGCAAAGACAGAAATAAAAAACTGGCTCATTCACCACAATAAATGACTAGATGAAGTTAAAAAATGTGAAGTCCATGTAGTAGTAAATACGCAGCTAGTATGATCTATATAAGAAAGTATTTGCATTGTTAGATTGCACTTATACAAAAGGCTCTGCTCTTTGTATGAAAAGATCGAACTACGGTTTTATTTACTTATTAATAGTATTTTTACATTCTCCATACCACCATATCCTAAATGGTGTACAGAAATACTTAGAAAACTACTAAAATAATAAAAGCTGCCCCCTAAGCAAAATAAAATATTGCAATATATAGAAGATAGCTCTCAAATATATATAAAGCAAGGACCAGTAGCTGCCCAGTCATAACCAATCTTTGAAAGCTGAATTTTTTCAAAGCATTATGAAATGTCAGTAAAAAAGATGCCAGCCACACCTTAAAGTGAAGGGTAGAGTTTAAGTTGTTTCAAAAAGTTAAGGCTACATTAGAGAAAGACTGCCTTATGGTCTATCACCTCATCTCCTGTAAAGGCAGAACCTTGGGAAGCCTTTCTCTAGATACGATCTAAGAGAGTCAATTTGTTATAGTCCAGGGGTCCCTAACCCCCATTCCATGGACCAGAACTGGGCCGTGGCATGCCAGCAACCGGTCCGCACAAACAAGCAAAGCCCCATCTGCGGGATGCAGTCAGCACACAAAACCACACACCCTCCGGTCCATGGAAAAACCTCTCTCCACAGAACTGGTCCCGGGTACCCAAAAGGTTGGGGATCTATGTTGTAGTGGTTAAAAGCATTGGATTAAAAACTGGGAGATTATGTGAATTCTAGTCCTGCCTTACGCTAGACTTTGATCTGTCACCCTCTCTCAGTCCTAGGAATAAAATCCTGACAACTTATGACTAAAAATGTTATCGAGAAAACTGCATGGACTTGTTCATTGATTTGATGGACCATAACAAAACACCAGAGGACCTAACAGAATGAGCAGAATAATTCTGGAGAAGACAGTATCTAATATACCCCCAAACCACAATAGAAATGCATTTGAATGTAATAACAGCATTTTAAATTGGATTTGGAAACCTATGAGTAACTAGTGAAACAACTGAATCAGTGCTATACTGTGCTATGAGCACCCTAGCTACTATACTTCGTACCAATTGTACATGTCAGGTCATCTTCAAAGGCACCCCATGGAGAGTATTTGGTAGTAGTCAATCTGCATAGCAATAAGGTCCATAACCAGGATTCCAGACCAGGGTATATCTGAACTTGGACACTAGTCTAAGCTGGACAAAGGTTCTACCTGCTGTTCCAGCAAGAAACACCAATCCAAAAGAACCCTCAAGTAACTGTCTTGCTTCTGTTGAAGGAGCTCAATGATAGATGAAGCTATCATTAGAGTTGATGTTTCTAGATAGCCCAGATGATCATTTATGGATGAGCATTTTCAATGTCTTCCTAGAGTTTAATCCGAGCTTCCTTGATATTCTTTTTAATTCTTTTCCTAGAGTTTGGTTGCCTTGGATCCTATTGCTGTAAGTGAAGACCAAATAAGGCCATCTCTTGAAAAACGTTTGGAGGGAATTATCAGTGGAGCTGCTTTATTAGCAGATTCCTCCTGTACTCGTGATCTTCACCGTGAGCGCATCATCACTGAGTGTAATGCCATTCGCCAAGCTCTCCAGGACCTTCTTTCAGAGTACATGAATAACGTAAGTCAGTGACTGTTCCACTGATTTTTTTTTTTAAAAAAAACTCTGTATATTTTCTGCATTGTTTCCAAGGCAAAGGTAATCTAATAGTTAGTGGCACTCTTTATTTAGTACTGATTTTCAAAGAATTCTTGTCATTTTGTATACATACATACATATATACATACACACACACACACACACACACACATATATTAAAAGACAAAATAAATAGTGACCACCAAGAGAATAAATAGAAAATATTTAATAACCAAACCTAGCTTTCGTCGGGTACTCCCGACATCGTCAGGGTTTAAAAAAGCAGTCATTGGGGGAAGCTTATATACAATCTCTAATTGCCTGCATCCGGCTTCTTGATCGTGTAACTGATCCCAGCTGGCCGTGCTGAGTTCCGAGTGCATCTCCCACGTCAGCATGTGGTTCTTTCCTATCCCCTCTATTTATTCTCTTGGTGGTCACTATTTATTTTGTCTTTTAACATGGATATACCCAAGAGTCATATTTTTACCTGTATAGCTAAACACACACACACACACACACACACACACACATTAAGAATTAGACTAAAAATTGAAGAACGTAGTTTCCTGGGTGTATACATATTCAAAAGATAAAAGACGAGCACCAGGAAATAAAGCAATCAAATGTTTAATAAATAGGTAACCTAGCTTTCGATGGCTGTAATGCTGCCATCATCTTCAGGGTGTAAAAAGCCAGAGGGTGGGGGAGCTTGCAGGGGGGAATGGGAGTAGTGATACGGATGTGGTAGCATGCCCCCGGAGAGTGGTGCGGCGGACATGGGGGAGGGAGGTGGTCGGTTTCGGGATTCCATCAGAGGATCAGTTTGGCGTCACACAGGTTACTTTGGTATAAGGTGACGTGGAATGTTCTCCTCCCAGCCTAGGAGCCGCGCGTAATAGGGAAGTAACCAGCCGCAGGAACTTAGAACTCAGAAACACATCTGATATGAGTGATGGGAGGATCAATCGACCAGGCCCCATAATGAGGTCTATGAGCCGTATGCAGGCGCGTTTGCGCTCATAAGCAAGCTCCCCCACCCTCTGGCTTTTTACACCCTGACGATGATGGCAGCAATACAGCCATCGAAAGCTAGGTTACCTATTTATTAAACATTTGATTGCTTTATTTCCTGGTGCTCGTCTTTTATCTTTTGAATATGTATACACCCAGGAAACTACGTTCTTCAATAGCTATTCCAGTTCTCCCTTAATTCTTTGCTAGCAATCCAAATTTTAGAAATATATATATATATATATATATATATATATATATATATATATATATAGTAGGTCTTTGGTTGTTCGGGTTTTCTCCCGCGTAAAATTGGAAGTGTCTTGGCGACGTTTCGACGAAGTCCCATTCGTCATCTTCAGGCTGGTGTTTTCAGCTTCGTGCTTCGAGCAGCAATGTGTGGTCTTAGCTGTTTCTTCCTTTTAACTGCCAGTGGGGGTATGAACTGATTGGGTGGGAGCTTGGCTGTGTTCTGATTGGGTGGAGGTGTGTTCTGATTGGTTAGGGGCGTGGCTGTGGCTAAGACCACACATTGCTGCTCGAAGCACGAAGCTGAAAACACCAGCCTGAAGATGACGAATGGGACTTTGTCGAAACGTCGCCAAGACACTTCCAATTTTATGTGGGAGAAAACCCGAACAACCAAAGACCTACATACAAACACCCGCGAAAACCTCAGAAAACATATATATATATATATATATATATATATATATATATATATATATATGGCAAATGAGTTGAAAAGTGCTGTTATGCTACCTTTTTTATTTCAATTATGCAACTTTTATAAATGGGAGAAGAAAAGTTTATGGAACTGGTATAATAGTACAGTAACATATGTTTCTCAAGAGACAAATGAGTACCAGACCATCTCATTTGTCTCTTGAGAAACCTATATGCAGGTCAAGAAGCAACAGTGAGAACCAAACACGGAACCACTGATTGGTTCAAAATTGGAAAAGGAGTCCGGCAAGGCTGTATACTGTCGCCCTGCCTATTTAACTTATATGCAGAGCACATCATGAGAAAGGCAGGGCTAGATGAATCAAAAGTTGGAATTAAGATTGCCGGGAGAAATATCAACAACCTAAGATATGCAGATGATACCACTCTAATGGCAGAAAGTGAAGAGGAACTAAAGAGCCTCTTGATGCGGGTGAAGAAGGAGAGTGCAAAAGTTGGCTTGAAACTCAACATTAAGAAAACCAAAATCATGGCATCCGGCCCTCTCAATTCCTGGCAAATAGATGGGAAAGAAATGGAGGTAGTGACAGATTTTATTTTTCTGGGCTCCAAGATCACCTCAGATGGGGACTGCAGCCAAGAAATTAAAAGACGCTTGCTCCTGGGGAGGAAAGCTATGGCAAATCTAGACAGCATACTAAAAAGCAGAGACATTACCCTGCCAACAAAAGTGCGTATAGTCAAGGCCATGGTTTTCCCAGTTGGTAAGGCTGTGAAAGTTGGACCATAAGAAAGGTTGAGCGCCAAAGAATTGAGGCCTTTGAACTATGGTGCTGAAGAAGACTCCTGCGAGTCCCCTGGACTGCAAGGTGTTCAAACTGGTCAGTCCTAGAAGAGATCAACCCCGACTGCTCTTTAGAAGGCCAGATCCTGAAGTTGAAACTCAAATACTTTGGCCACCTAATGAGAAGGAAGGACTCACTGGAGAAGGGCCTAATGCTGGGAAAGATTGAGGGCAATAGAAGAAGGGGACGACAGAGAATGAGGTGGCTGGATGGAGTCACAGAAGCAGTAGGTGTGAACTTAAATGGACTCCAGAAGATGGTAGAGGACAGGAAGACTTGGAAGAATGTTGTCCATGGGGTCGCGATGGGTCGGAAACAACTTCGCAATTAACAACAACAACAACAACATATGTAGGTGCACAGAACCATGGAAGGGATCATTTTTCCATTTTTACCTTTTATCCAGATCAGTATCGGAATATGGATCCAAATAGAACAGGAAACATTTCTATTCCCACCATCTAATGGAGGCATTATTAATTAGGTAGGAATTTGTGCTTAGAGAGCTTGTATAAGAGGACAATGGCAGAATTCATCCATAGGTACCCTACATATAGAGCTGTAGGTTTGAGGCTCTGTTCTAACCGTCCAAAGGACAGATGACCATTGGAGCCGGATTAGTCACTGTAATGCTTACCCCTCCTTGGTCACTTATTCTCCCTGTAGTCCTTCAGATATGAAAATGCCTGAAGTCCCTTTAGATTGAAATAGTTTCTATAATCCCTTGACAATCACGTTATGACAATAAGCCAGCAGAACAGAACACAAATCATATTTATTTTAGCCTTCCAGTTTTATTAAAAAGATATAATAAAGGTCTTTGGCATTATTTTTATTTTTCCCTTCAACTCAGTCTTGACTCCTGGCAAGGATATGGATATATCCCTGCAGTGTTCTAGGCAACATTTTTCATTTAAAGTAAAACAAGGTAAGAATAATGCAGCACTCTTAATATTTTGTGCAATGCTCTAGTCTACACAATAAAACCAGAATCCAAACTGATTTTCCACTTGAAAAGCATGAATTCTGCAGGCTTCAACAGCATGTTTTGTTTTCGGGTTGTTATTTGCCAGGAGTTTTCCATAAAAAAAAATCTGGTCACCCAGAAAATGATCTAAGAATTGATTAGAAGTTTGTAGCACCAGCCTTCTTAGAAGTGACAATATAGCAATACAGGGTCCAATGATTCACTGTTGTCAAATTGATAGGGGCAAGTTCTTCTGCATATACAGAGGATTCTGAAACTTGTTCTCCAAAACACTAATGGTAGAACAATGTCAAGGCTTTGTGGAATTTATTTATTGCGAGCTGATTGAGATCCTGGGCTGGTTTGAAACAGATTTTAATTAGGTCCCTGTTGTATTCTAGCTAGCAGTTTGGTGTATTTGATTTGCACTCCTATATTAAGAATCCTTTGTCTAAGACACAGGTCGGCAACCTGCGGCTCCGGAGCCGCATGCGGCTCTTTGAGCCTTCCCCTCTGGCTCCCAGCCTCCTCTGCCTTTGCAGAGAGAGACAGAGACAGAGAGAGGCAATTGCGCTTCCCTGCTTCTCTCTCTCTCTCTCTCTCTCTCTCTCTCTCTCTCTCTCTCTCTCTCTCTGTATGTGTGTGTGTGTGTTTGTGTGTGTGTGCATGTGTATGTGTAAAAGAGAGTGCACTCACACTGTTCTCCGAGGAGCTGAAAAGCTTACTGGGCGGAGCTCCTCCCTTTGCTGCGTCTCTGCAGGAAGCAGGAAGCAGGAAGGGCGGGAGAGAGCTAGCTAGCCCAGCTAGGCTGACTCAGGAATTCTGGGAGTTGAAGTCCATGAGTCATAAAAGAGACGAGGTTGCTTGTTGGACAACAGCTTGAAGCTTGCCAGGTGAGCAGCAGATAGGAGGGAGGGGAGAAAGAGAGAGAGAGAAAGAGAGAGGGAGGGAGGGAGGGAGGGAGAGAGAGAGAGAGAGAGAGAGAGGAGAGAGAGGAGGAAGAGGAGTGGCAGACCAAGGGCAGATAGAGAGGGAGGGAGGGAGAGAGACAGAGAGGAGAGACCCTTTTGACATCTAAAATGAAGATAACACTGCATATATCCTTTTTTTAACCTGTGTGTGTATGTAATTTTATTCTCTTAAAGCATTCTCTTGGTGATCATTGTTTTAATAGTATGGATATTCCCAAGAGTCATATTTTTACTTTTTTTTTAGTGTGTGTGTGTGTGTGTGTACACACACACATACATACATACACACACACACGCGCGCGCACACACACACACACACTATAATAAAGGTAAAAAAGGATATATGCAGTGTTATCTTCATTTTAGATATCAAAAGGGTTTTGCGGCTCCCGGTGTTTTGTTTTTGGTGGGAAACGGGTCCAAGTGGCTCTTTGAGTGTTTTGGGTTGCCTACCCCTGGTCTAAGAGCTGTCATAACTTGAACTTGTCCCAGTGTCAG